ACCATACATCATTATTTCTGGCTTTAAAATTAGTGAATCTATATTAATATGGATCAAAAGCTGTCATTTGTAACTATTCATTGAAAATGAAGACTTTCTCAGCCTGTTTTTGTTTTTTGGTCAGTTGTGCATTATCAAGTTTGCTTTTCTTTCCGTGACCTAATTCAGTTTTATTGGTTTGAAATGTACGTCTTTTCAATAAAATCCGTCCAGCTGTTTCAAAAGGAGCATTAAAACATTGCAAAAAGCAACTTATACAATAGTGATTTTTATGAATACTGTTTAGTAAAATGTTAAAACGTTAAAAGGATGCATTTATGTTCATCAAAAACTGTTTGAGATTGTTATTTTCAAGGTTTTCATTTATTACTTTCTGTTGGCTGTCATTAACATCTGAAGGTCCGTCCATTGGATAAGTATTTCTCTATTGATTTTGGTAAAAGCCCGTCCAGTTGTAAATGGTAACATGTGTTTTGCAGTACAGAAAAAGAATTCTGTTAAATTATTCAATGTTCTTTCAACCTGTTGTATAGATTCGTTTCTAGGAAGATATATTATTTGGAATTCAAGCTTTTCAATTTTTTGTCACATATGATTTGACACGTGAATTTTTTTTACGAAAACAAGTTTTTTGAAAGCAAAACTGCTAGACTGGCTGGTTTCTCCGTGTTGACTTTAGCATTTGAAATGCCCTTTAGAATTTGAGTAGTGTAGTTCGTGTTTTTAAATCTTGGAGGAAAGTTTTAAACAAAGTCCTTTTTATTCCAGTAGATGTTGTTTTGAGTCCATTTGTCCTGTTGTATAAAGAGTGATCACTCATGCTATGGACTTGTCATCATAGAATAAGTATACCACAGCTTGCAGCTGCCAGCTCTACCCGTCTGTCTTCAAAGCTACGTCACTTTAGAAGGTGGTGAATGGTTCCTCGTTTTTTCTTTTTCCTTGTTAAAATCCAAATCATATTTGATTGTTGAGCCAAGATGATCTTGATGAATAAGCAATAACTTGTTTTAAGTATTTCATCTTAAAAGCATAAGAATATTTGTATTAGACATTCATGGCATAAGCACGGTTGTGATGACTATTAGTTGGTTTGTTTTTTTGGGGTTTTTTTTTTCAATCGTTTAGATGATGCTTGCCACATGGGTACCACATCGCATCTGTGATTTATGATTTATTTACAAGCTATACTTTTACTTATGGATTACTTTTAAAAGATACATGAAGGGGGTGATCAAAGTTCTTCTATTTGTAAGAAACAGTATTGATATATTATTATTAGTGTATTGAAATATGATACAATCCTCAGATTCAGTATTCTTTTTTATCCAATCCTGGTTTGTTTTCTGTGATGTAGGTTAATCCAGAAGTTATTTATTATGAAAAATATGAATACTGAGACAGGGATTAAGTCCAGAGTTTTTTGTGTTTTTTTTCGACTAGATAACTTTTTAATTAGTATATATATATATATATATAATGATAAAATATATATTGTTGCCGTCATGATTAGACCGGATAACCATAACATTTTCTGGGAGGGGGAGGGGGGGAGTCGTAAAAGTAGTCTACATAGCCTGTTTGATATGCTGGTTAAGAGTTTATATCCAAAGGTGGACCTTTTTATCAGTATGAAAATTGGATAACTCTATGCCATCCTTTTAATAAATCATTTTTTTCCTTCTAGTGATTAATTTACTCGATGTCACTTATCCGATCTTATCTCGACGGTGACGATAGATCTATACATACCAATTGAAATGAAAATGACTGAATGAAACATTTATAGAAACCAATGAAAATAACATTCCCATTTCTTCCTCATTTTGCCTTGTGATGATTTCGATTTTCTTTATTATTGTCTGCTGATTGAAGAAACTGAAGACATATATATGGCTCATGGACCTAGCATAATTTCAAGTCCCAGGACTGTTTCTTACCTCTACCATGCTATTTACGTTCTGTCATCAAAGGGCTCATTTGTGCAAGATTTGTGTTTGTTTTCCATTATCTTTTCACCCTGAATGGAATTACTTTTTTATATCACAACTGATTTCATTTATGAATGGAAAGGATTTAAAGCTTGAAATAAATTGTATTTCTTTCATAGTCATAGAGACCAAACTCTGTACATGGATTGCTAAAAAAAATTACTAGATCTATGAAGGTCACCTTATTTGACACTTTGTATAATTCTAGTATGTTTTTTTTTAAAGTTGTAGAAGTAAACTGTGTGCCTTTGTTGCTTGACACACTTTGAATAGAACCCCCCCCCCCCCCCCCATACTTTCTCAAAATTAAAAAGTAAAGTCCATCATCATCAAATTAATTTTGTTTAGATTTATGGTATCGTTTTAAGATGCACGACTGCTGTTATGTAAGTTTACTCATCCATTTTGAACTCTGGAAAGTAATCATGCTACAGGTGATGTAGTGAATTTGTGGAAAGCTTTAACAGCATACATTGGAATCCAGAATGTTAGATATAACTTCGTAATTTTCTCTCCGTCTGATCATTTCAGTCTTCCCACCGAAGGTGAGATTCAGTTTACTGTAATTTTTCAAAGATAGAAAACAAGATATTTTCAGTTGTTGAGAGGATCTGTTTTCGTGGGCTTAAAGACTAAATGATGTTAGTAGCTTGCACTGTCTGTTTTCATTGACTCTTGAATAGTGGACATTATTTATTATACATTTCTTAGAATATAACGATATCTTCCAAATGCATACAGAAAACAGTTCAATTCCTGACTAAATGTGACCCAAGCATAGTTTCTCTGGTCTCATCTTTATGTTTCATTGACTAATCTGTTGGTCATATTTTTTTTGTTTTTTGGTAGCCCCTTTATTCTTAAGTAAAGAGAAGCCACACAACACAACCAACTAATAACATTACTCTATATGGATTTTGATAGGCCTACCTAGTTATGTTACCTGATGGAAAAGGAAAAGAGATTCAATTTCTTTTGGTTATCACTATAGAGGGCTGAGATTTTAGTTGTTGGCTACACTTGAACTTGAGTCACTTGAACCATTTTTTTTCTTCATGTATTTGTATGTGACTTTTATATTTTAAAGTTTTGGTTGCCCCTGCTTACATTTACGAAATCTGCTTATAACAGATCCTTACCAGTGAAAGCTTTCTCGACGTGAGAATCTTTTTCGCCTTTTTCGGTGTTTCTTCATTTTACTGATATTTCGACCCAAAAAAATAAAATGAAGAAAAACGAGAAGTAACTGGTTACGGTATCGTTTAAAGCAAATTGTGCAGTAAACTGTTCTGTTTTTTCTCCACCGTTTAAACTAGTTTATGCAGATCTCAGGCATTCTTGCAAATCTTTTCATTGGTTTGCCTAGCTCCTAGAAATATTAGACTTTCTCTTAGATTTCTTGTGTGCCCGTGAGGAATATTGGGGCTTGATGAAGAGACAAAGATATTCACTCCTTATTAGAATCTAATCAACTTTTGCTGGGTTTTCTGTACTCTTCTGCTACATTCCTGTATTCATTTGTTATCTCATTTGGCTGTGCTGATGTTGTGTCATCTATTGTAAATAAATGCATATATACATAAATATATATTATCAGCAGCTTTTTGGTTTTGTTTTTTATTCTGTTGAACAAAATAAATTGTTTGAGCTAGGAATCAGTATTTGGGGAAGGGGGGGGGGGTTGGAGGGCACCACTGGTAGGTCCCACTTTTTTCTTTCCCTCTGATATTTCTGTCTGGCTGTCTTACCTTTTTCGATCACTAAATGACCATTACTGTGTGGATATGCTTTTCTTTATTGAAACAAACAGAAACAGAATCAGTAATTGAACAAAATAAATTGTTTGAACTTGGAAACAGTATTTCTCCCAACTCTCACTGGCTTGGAAAAACTGACCATGGACTCTGCTCTGGAGTTTCATAAAAACGACCTGTGGGCTTACTTTTGTGTCTGATCTCAGCACTTTTCTAAAACTGTATTTATATTGCACGCTAATAGTGCTAGCATCTGATTTCTACCGAGGACCCGTAAAATAAGAAACAGTCTTTTTCTGCCGATTACTTGGTTAGAGCATACGGGTAAAACGATGTCAACAACCTTAAGCTTGTTAATTTGTCTTGCATTTGGCGAAAAGAGTACTTATCTATTTTTAATTGAAGTCCAGATATTTGCGAATGAAGGATGTGGGGGTCGGCTGAAAGAAAAGATAAAATTAGCGAGAAAATGGCTGCCAAAGTTTGGTGACTTCCAAAGCTTGAGTGTCTTTGGAAACTGGAAGTTTACATTTTTTGTGCCTTTAATGAACATTTTCAGTAACATCCATACAGAAATATGTTTTTATAAAGATATAAAAGGTGTTGAGGCAAATACATTTTTTTAAAAAATTGCCCAACGCCCAGAAAAATGCCTGTTTCTTTGATTACGCTGTTTTGACGAGGGCCTGATTTCACCACACTGCCTTGCAAATGAACTGCTGATGCTAAAATGAGCTACCATTTTGCCTGATGGTCAGAATAGAGAAAGCATGTTCTGTCGGAGATGGTCTGATACAGGACATCAGGTAGCAATCAAAGAAGGCACACCGTATTTTTACCTGTCATTACTATAATTTTCATGCACAATATTTCTTATTTCTGGCAGGGAAACAGTCCGGTGTGACCGTTGTGTCTGGCATTAGTGTGGTTTTACCCTAACACCATCAATCTGCTTTTTTAGTTTAGTTTTAGTAAGTGTTTTACGGCACTTGCAACACAATTAGGTAATGTAAGTGCCGAAGAGTAGAAGAGTTACAAGAAAAGGGTAACAAACACAAAAAAGGAGAGATAAGGATGATAGATGTTTGACAGGAAAGAATGACCAAACTACACCAAAGCACCAGCCATCCACCCTTTATCAATCTGCTGCTTAGCTCAAACTCCTCTTGCTGCTCCGCTCCCTCCCAGTTTCAAATACATAATACAAACACATCACACTTGCTTCAAAGTCGAAGTAAATAGAGAAATCTCAATGTTTAGTAGTTGTAAAATCAAGAGATTTATTGGTAAATTTACAATGTATACACTCTACACAAAGCCTGCTTCACGTGTCAAGTCAATGACTAAGTGGGCGTAGCAAATACTTGTTCATTGATATATATCTTCTTATAAGAATCTGGCTCTTCCAAAAAGCACAACACTTTTTTTTTCACTGCGCAAAATCATCAGGGGAACAGGGGTGGTGGTGGTGGTGGAGGTGGAGGTGGAGGGGGAAACATTTAATGTCATGTTGATCACACTGAGATGGGTAACAAACATTATGCATGAGAACAACATTACACATTGGTGTGCGCATACACTCAGTCACACAAAACAGTTTTCAAGTTTAAAAAATCTCTTTAAACAGAACATAGCATTCAATAATAGAACACTAGCACCTTGGATTCACATATATAAGATTACTCACAGAAAAATGAAACATCAACAACATAAAAGTTGAACCAATGTAACACTTGGTATGGCAAGGTAGTGTCAGTGTGGGCCTGTTGTGTAAACAAATTTTAAATGTGAGCAAGTGTGCATGACAGTAGTCTGAAAGAAAATCAAACTCTTACCAGTCTCACTAAGACCAATTATATCCCCCCCCCCCCAAACTTTGAATCCAAATAAACATGCAAATTCATTAATTCTTCTTAAAAAAAAAAAAAGACAAAACTTTCCACAGCAGCACAACCTAAAATCACCTGTTGGATAAAACAAAACCAAAAAAAAACCGCCAAAAAAACCCCTACAAAATAAATGAGTTATCTCCTCCGCAGCTACAATAACTTCACAAGTACAATGAACATTGACTTGGTAACAAACCAATAAATCAAACCAACATACAAAGAACATTTTGACAAAATGAACTTAGAAGTAGACAGGACAGTCTCATGGCACTGGAAACCCAAAATTTTTTTTATAAATGTAATTGCAAAACATAAGTGCACACAGTGTCTAGCAGCAATAAAATACATATTACTCAGAAATGTACAGAAATTATTGACAAGGACTACAGAACACAATACACATGATAAACTAAAGAATATGTTCGCACTAGTCTAAGAAGGAAGGGAAGCGACTACAATCCACTGAGCTGAAGAAAAACTGTATGTGCTGAAAGGCAGGTTACATCACCACCACTGACTTACATTGTCATGAGAGGAAGAAAACTGCAGAAAATAACCTAGGAAGAGCAGGAGGAGAACCAAAGAATACAATCAGAGACAAATAGATTGGAAATGGGTGGACAAAGATGCTGTTACAATACCTCTCAAAATTCCAAATGGACAAAATGCAGTTAGTGTATAGAAATATAAAGACGAAACTTTACACGCTTCATAAAGTGTGTTTTTTATCAAAATATTTTAAAAAACTGATTCCTTTATAACTTGACCAGCTGGTAATTTAATTTGAGCACTAGCACTCTCACTCAAGCCAAGTAAGGGCCAAAAAATATATAAACAAAAACAATGGTGTACACAGGAGTCTTATTATATTGTATAGCATTAACCTCAAGTTCAAACCAGAAAAGCAAATCAGCGATATCAGATCAGTTTGAACCAACGATATGTAATACCATTCACATAATTCCGTGTACATCTTCCTGGAAGCACATTTAGAAAACAAAAAGTGGCCTTATACTCTTATACCTAAACAGGGCCAATCGCCATGACAATGACTATACTTCCCTCAAAACAGACTCAGACCATCTATCTTGGGAACACTGAAAGAAGTAGGGCCTACACAACAGTCAGCTCAGAGGGAAATTGGTGTAGACAGTTGTTATAATATTTTTAAAAAATTCTCTGCACCTGAAGTCCACTACAAAACGTTCTCATAGAGTTTTAACATAAGTAGCTCCATAAACTATCCCGCTGCACTGAGACTTATTTTGCTACTCTTATCCCTGGCCTTCTTCCTAGGCAGTTGGCAGACGTGACATATCGGATATCTCATTTATCGAAGCTCACAGCAGTCTGGTTTTACCACGTTATGGAGTTTCCACCCCCCATCTGACACCCCTTCCTATTCACTCTTTAATAAACCCCCCCCCCCTTCCCCATCTCTCTATTCTCAGATACACAACTATCAAGTGAAATTTCAGTCCTGCCTTGGACCTTTCTTGCATGTAATCAAATTAACTGATGACCTTTCCGGCGAACAATAGAGCCACTTTTCTAAGTGCAGCCAGAACAAAATTCACATGGAGAGGAATTCATTTCTAATTTTGACAAGCACACATCATCCAGACTTAAATAAATTTCTAAGCACAAATACTGAAAAAAAAAGGACCACAACCCTAGTGTCAGTTAAGGCAGGAACACATTTCACCAGAGACTTGTAAATGAACTCCACTGACCAAGCTGCACACAGTGCCACAGCAGCTATTAACAGCCCGCAGAAAACAGCATGTTAGCATGGAGAGAATGAGCAATACAGCACTCACCCAAAGAGCATGAGTTTTTGAGTCTGAGTAAAGAGAAGCACACCAACACAATAACTGTCATATAGTGCAGGGAAGAAGCAAGACAGACAGAAACACAGAGGGAAAGAAAGAAAGACCTACCAGTGGCACCCTCCAACCACCTGTGCATGGAGAGCAAAAGTAAACACATTCAAGAAAGACAACAATACACGATCAAAGCTAACAACATCGAAGCGACAGGCGCTTAATAGCACATGGCATTAATATAAACCTAATTCAATTTTTAAAAACGTAACGAAAATATTAAAAACATTATTAATACAAAAAAAAGGAGTTTTCAAAATCACCGTTCACAACATTGCTGTCAAAGTCATTATAACACAATTGAATTAAAATTAAGAAAAGAACAATCTAAGACTACAGAACAAGATAACCCCCTCCCTCCAACCCACCCTTTCCAGTTTACATTTTAAAAAATCAGAAGTATTTATAACACTCCTCTGTTGAGGAGCGTGTAAAATAGGGAGCAGAACATCTAGCACCTTGACAACAACAAAGCAAACATTCTGCCCAATCCTTCACTCTTTCAAAAACTTGACCCCCGTGCATCATAGATAGCATGAAACTATCACACTCACAAAAACCGGCACTACATGTCAACACTCCATAACAATGAGAAAACTATCAGTCCCGAATAGCTTATGATGATTTACAACTACAAAAACCACATTTAACACACAACAATGGATGGTGTCGAACCTTGAAATAGTGCAATGCTCCGATTCGACAAAAATGTTGAGCAGCAACAATAACCACAGCGAACCTTGGGGAGATATGTAGAAAACAGCAAAGTCTGATGCTGACATCTTTGTGCAGAACACTCTTCAATCATGAAAATAGACAATTATAAATTGTGTACTAGGAACACACAAACTTGAATATTTGAAGAAATCAAAGTTTTAAAAGTAGACAATTCTCTACTTTTTTCAAAGAGGCTAACTAACACATGCTGCTCTTACTAATAAAGACAAACTAGAAGGGGGGAAGGGAGACAAAGACAGCGGACAAGACCAAAGGGACACAAAGCTTAAATTTTAGGTAAACTAATTGATAAACAGAATTGAATCTTGACAATATATAAAAGTAAATAGAGTCAGATCTCCGCCAAAAATAGCGCTTCCACAAATATATCACTTTTCCTGTAACACAACGCCACTGGCTTAATGATTACTCAATCTTATGAAAGTAAAAAAAAACAACCCAAAAATACAAAAATTTTAAACTTGTAAAGCTTGAAGCATGATCTGTATGAAAGTACACTGAACCACACTTAGATAAAGACAACTGGGAAACAAGAGTGCAAATCTTCCACCTTGTATATATATTACAATAAAGCAAGGAACAACCACAGGCTCCTTGCTCTATGAGAGGAGACTGTTCTAAATAAAAAGATGACAAGACTAACCATCACAAGCATACAGACGGGTATCGCTGATAAAAGAAGTAATTGGGCTGACTATCATCATTTAATGCTGCACAACAGAAGTTTTTTGTTCAACTAAGAGGGGAGTTCCAGGCCATAAAGTTAATGTCCATATACTGGTCTATGAAATTTCCAGCTACAAAAAACTGATATAAAAGATAAATAATCATATTTACAGCATGGAAGCTCCTACGTCTTGTTATCTCTCACCAAAAATCAGGTTAGAATAGAACACACCAGATTCCCTTAATGTAGTTCCTGACACAAATACCCTCATCTGTCAGCATCTCTTTGTTGGTGAAAAAATAATAAACAGGTCACATTCTATTCTAGGCAGACATCTAAATAAATACTGTCTGACACTATCATCAAAATGGCAACCCTATTTCTTCAGGAAGACGTAGAGTACACGAATGAGCTGAAAAAGCAGTTTCCCCAGTTTCCAATACTACACTCGCGTGTCACACAACCATGGATTCTCCACATACACTTATAATAGAATTTATATGCAGAATCTTAATATAGGAAACGCAACAAGCTATGCAAAGTAACAGATCTTGTCCTAACCATAAATTTGTTTGTTAAAACACTCACTATACATTCTGTACTAAACGCCTTTACAAATGACCAGAAAACCTTCTAATGCCCCAGTACTTATAGTCTCCAAAGGCAAAAATGTTCTCTGCTCTACCAACACTGACAGTAAATGCCTTGCTCAAAGCTTACATTAATTTGTTAATTTTCTACACTCAAAATTCATACTGCACATAAAAATGAAAGATTAGAAAGATTAAGAACAGAATGAAAAAATATATTCACACACCAAAAACACATCATTCAAGAATTTCACTGGCACACAGTTAGAGAAAAAATATTTTAAAAGGGCTGTATAAACTGTGATTGATAAAACTTCACAACATTGTGTAGTCCTCTGGCTCCAGTCATAAACAAGCAATCTTCAAATAAAAATCTATATGTATACTTTGAGATGTAAATAATCGCAATGATTTTTGACGATATAAACATAAAAGTTATATTCATTTTGAAAAATAAAAGAATATATTTTAAAAATAGCACTGTGTTGAAGGGGTTGACCAGATGAGTTCAAAACACTGAAACAGATGATTTTTAACAAATATACTCAAATAAAAACAGAACAGCAGCAGTAAGAGTCCACACTATAAGCTGATCCCACAGATAGAACAGGCCCTAATACGAGAAAATCCAAGAAAATGTCAATGGGCTCGGATCACTGTGAGCCTCCCCGTAAAAGGAAAGTCAAGAAAAAAAAAAAGAGAAAAGAAACAGAACACTTTGTACTGAGATAAATATTTCTGGAGCTTCCGACTCAAACTGCTACAATTTTGTCATATATATATAATTCAAGAAATCCTTACATAAAATTCCCCATCGTTGTTTTGAAACTTATCCCTTTTGATTTCCTGCTGTACAGAATGAATGCCTGTGGCTCAAAATCTGAAGCTGAGGACAACATGACAGGCACAATTTTTGTCATGATCAGAAATGTTCATTCACCATGTGTGTGTGTGTATATATATATATATATATATATATATATATATATATACACTAAAGGCCTATCTTTTGTTTTGTTTCTAAACAATGATCAGAGTTGTTCTAATTTAAACCAACAGAATAAGAGCTTTAAAACGCGAAGATGGAAATGGGCAGAGAGATGACATGGAGACCACGGGATGGAAGGGATAGATAAAGCTACAAGTGAGAAAGATTTACGGGTTTTGAATGTGCACAAACCAACTCGAAGAAAATTCATTTGTTCCCTTGTGTTTTTAAAAGAAAAAAAAAACCTAACCCATCTCCTTCTGTCAGTCTAAATAAATATAATTAGTATTGTTGATGGTACTGGGGCTGCTGTGCATTGTACTGCTGTTGTGGAACGTGCTGGTTGTAGGCCTGGAACTGGGTGTGCGCTCCCATCTGATTGGACGACTTTGGCAGCTGGGGCACGCCCTTCCGGTACACCAACATCTTCAGCACCGGCTTCTTGCGTATGCTTTCAACAGCCTGTTTGTGCGTCACCACTGTGAAATCTTTGCCATTCACCTGGAAGTACAATTTGTTTGTGTCTGTTAAAAAAACAACAACCCCACAATAACATGAATGTTAATGTTATCTTATGGCTGGGGAAAATCTAAGAGAGCACATTAAAAAGTTATCATTATCATCATCATTGCCTTTCTCACCCTGGATCAGGATATAGGCCACGAACAAACACTATCCACCTTTCCCTATCCTGGGCTAGTCATTTGATGTCACTCTATGTCTTCCCACTTTTCTGTACACCCATTTCCGTGACTCTTCTCCAGGTTCCATGTGATCTTCCCAATGATCATTTACCCTGTGGGTTCCAATCTAACACTTTCCTTGTTATACAGCTGCTTGACTTCCTGAAAGTGGGCACAATCCATCGCCAACGTTTTCTTCTCACCTCATCTCTGACTGGGCTCTATCTCATTCTTCTTAATACATCCTTGTTGGTGATCCTGTCTGTCCATCTTATCCACAGTCACTTGTTCAAGAAAACCTGGATCCTCTTTTATGCACGTCTGAGATGCGTTCCAAAAAGTTGCCACAGAACAGAAAATATTGCAATGCGCATTCTCCCTCCAAACATAGAAAAAATATTTTCTTTTTTAAAATAAGTAGTATTAATACTGTAACCATTTTCGATATATATCTATATATAAATATCTGTTCTTCAGACAGTCTGTACATAGTGATCCCAAAGGAAGCCACTGTCAATTTAACATTGCAATGCCACTGAAAAAATATGTACTAATTGAAACCATTTCTTATCCAAACCACTATGTTGAAAAATTTCCATCATTTCCATTGTGCTGGCCAAGTCAGCTTTTTTCTTAGCAATTCTACTTGAACTACAAATTTCACGAAAGTACTGATCCTATGGCAGTTACCTGAAGAATTTTATCATGAAGCTGTAATCCGCATCTTGAAGCAGGACTGTTGTCATGAATGAATGTCACATACACACCCTGCAAAAGGTAATGAAAAGTTTGATATCACATACTAGAAAAAAGTGCTCTGTCCTGAGGTATGATAAAATTTTCAGAAAGACAGCAGTTAGAAAGAGCCAAGGAGTAGCAGTAGAGAGGCTGCAGAAAGAGTCAGGAGCCCAAAGGAGGGGGCTGAGGGGGCGGAGGTAGTAGTGGAGACGAAAACAGACGACAAAATTGCTAGAGAGCAGGAAAAGTGGTGAAAGGAGACAATTTTAGAGAAGAAAGTTTTTCGGTAACTACCCGGATATTTGAATGAGAGGCGAACACCTTAACCTCTAATCCATGAGAGCCCCCTCAGCAGGTTGGTCTCTTACATTGATAAATCATTTGGTAAAAATTTGATATCCTACCCTATAATTACTGCTTACTGTTTTCAGCAGTCAAGCTCAGGAGGAAAAGAAATTCTGTGAGCTTATCATGCAAGTTCCAACACAGAGTGAAGATCAATTGTTGCTACATTAAAATCTTTTGTACGAGTACAATATAAAAAAGACGGCATCAAATGGAGCAATTCAAAACAAAATAAAAGCATAGTCAAACCTTGTTATATACAAACAACCCCCCCCCCCCCCACACAAACATAATATGCCAACAGCCCAGCTTACTTCCACATTTAGTTAATATACAAAAAAGAACGCATTATATAAACATAATAGTTGTGGGTAGTACGGTTCTTTTGAAACTATGTAAATTTGCCCCACTATGCTACCAGCGAATTGGCTGCTGGATACAAACTACACACGGTGGCCGTTTAATAATCTGTTTCCCAAACACACCTCTCTGTTTTAGCTCGCCCTTTTCCTAGCATTTGTCGTTGATTATGAAAATGCTATTATTTTTAAGTAACTTCCAAAAAAAAAAAGGAATGAAATTTTCAAGTTGCTTGAAAAAACTTTCAAGGAAACCACCAGATAGAAACTCAATGACCAAAAGGCAGGCAGCTGCCCGTGAAGCTTTTATTGTGAGACCCTAAAGTCGACATGACAAGACAGGTCAAAGGCGCCCCACAGACTGACGAGAATCAGATTTTTTTAAAAATACGTCTAAAAGATCCTTGAAACATAATCTGGCTTCTGAACCTAGCTTTTTTTTCCAATTTGAATTTAGGTAAAGTTTAGCTGGAGTTGTACACGTAGTGTTAGTTGCTACCTGTTTTTTCCCTGCATAATGGCAATCGCACAAGACAGAGATGAGGTGAGACTGGCCACAGTTTGTATCTCTAGTCTTTACCAGTCTACCACTAGTCAAGCAGGCAACCAGAGCCATCCCGTTATAACCGCCGGCCTTGTTGTACGCCAACTTTATAATTATCCTCGTCCCAAGGTAGGTGCTGTATAACGAAGTTTGATTGTTGCTCATACTTCAAATGTGAGGCATCGGGATGAAACCAGGCACTCGTTAAAATAACGAAATCAGAGAAATTAGCATTTTTGGGACGATAGGCAATTTTTTTCTGATTTTCATTTTTTGGCTCAACAACTTTTATATCCATTTAAAACACACATTTGGGAGGATTTTACCTAAAACATTGACGAAAGGCTAAAAATTTCAGTTTCCAAGGACTCTCAGGCAATGGAAGTTACCAAACTTTGGAGGCTGTTTTCTCACTAATTCTACCTCTGAAACCACGCGACCCTTACCTCCTGTAATTGCAAATATTTCGACTTCTATATTTAACCCCCGTCCTGCGGGAGCCGGGTTTATGCCGCCCGATAAGCCTATTTCGGCACCTCGCATACATTCTGGTCCTGAATCAGTGTAGCCCCGGCTCAGCGCATGCGCATCATCTTACGTGTCATTCAGGTCTCGAGTCGGATCCCCATTCACGCAGGTCAAGTGTGTGTGCGTCAGTCTGCTTGAGTTTGTGTGCGTTTGTGGCCTTCTTCTAGAACAGCCTGCGTTGGTTCGTAATCGAGGCATACGTCTCATTCAAAACATGCCAAGTTGGTAGCTCTAGATATTCGTCCAATGAAATTATGGAACAAATTGACCCACTTAACCACGAGGAGCTCGAAAGGATAGTCAGGAAACAAGACTTCCATTTTTCTATACAAAATCTTTCAAATGAGCTTGATTTTGTATGAAATGATACTACCAGATAAAAAATAAGCTTGTTTGATAGTTTTGAATACCATTGTGCAGGTACAAAGAACAATTTGAGTGTAAAACATTCGGAAATTGACCTATATTATCATCCCCTTTCGAACCTCAGGTCATTCATAACAATAAGAGCGTCCAGAAAGGTTATTCGAATGGGCGTAACTACTCGTAATGTCTTATATCAGCTTGTGAGAGGGGGTTATTCATGTGTTTGTAACACTTTATAAATAGAAAGCTATGAAAGATACAGCGTTATTTTCATCATCGGTTAACACACTCCCACATTCATGGCAAAAACACACGTTTCCCGGCGCACGCGCTGTACACCAACACAACACACTGAGTGACCCCGGCGGCCTGCCCGGCACATCCGACTTAATCGGTTGCTGATAAGAATCGCATCTCGGCACAGACGCAGGACAAGAGTTAACATAGATGGATATTTTTTTCACCAAAAAGGAAGGCAAATGAACGGGCTTTTAGATGATACCAATAACCCCATAAGCCCAAAAATTTACGAGCGCCTGATTCCACTGCGTTGTGACACAAATGTGTACAAAAACCATACCTTGTCCGGATAACCCTGTGGGCTCTGAGACGGGTCCTGGTCAATACCTCCACCAATTCTGAAACCACATCTGTATCTTTGTTTACCATCAGGTTCTAGAACTGGATTGCCTTGCTGATCAATATCTTGTTCTTTTTCTAAGACAATAGGAATCTGAAAATGAATAGAAGGTGAATAAAACTCAATCAATGTATTTCCATCGAAAGCTACAATTTTGTAGTCAATCAGTTTAAAAATCAACTGATACTGCGATAATGTAGAGATGTGTATACTACATAGTGATCAATTATTGTGCACTTAAGAAAAAAAAAGCTCCTGACCCGTTATTCTCACCCCCACCCCAGTGTGGGCATGAGGTTAGGACTCCCCCCTGACCTCTCGCAGGCCGATTAAATCACCTATATGTGGCTTACCGCATGGGAAATGACTTATGAGTGCTTGGCGCTTGTTTCCTCATGTAGGCCAACTACTGATTACCGTTACCATACCCTTAATTTTTAAAATAAAATAATCAAATAGCCTTCTTAAAATTAGGCTAAAATTGTGAGGACCGGTAGGTATCAGATGCATTCTGCTCTTGACATTTCATTCTTGAATAACCATAGATCATCTAGATCTACTTTACCTCGGGGGGGGGGGGGGGGGGGGGATTATGGGTTGTTGTTTTTTTGTTTTGTTTTTTTCACTGTTGTTTGAACAGCTGTTCATGGTGTGAAATGGCCTTCCCGATGCCCATTAAATAAACTTAACCTGAAACTTATCTCTACAACTTATAAGTTATTCTCTGTGTTGTTCTGTGTGTGTCTGTGCTATAGACTGTATGTAGCACACCTGAGGAGGGTGAGAATAGCAAGACACGGGCTATATAATAGCCATTTCCTTTCAAAAAAGAACTTCCAAAAAGTAATCACCTCGTAATTTCTTCATTTTTTGCTCAATACACCAATTTTTATGGAAATCTGCCATGTACACATTACAAATGTCTATTTCCAATGGCTGCCAAATTTCTAGGGCGTTTGGGTAATATTTAAAAAGACATTTCACAGACGCTCTGAATAAAGATTCTGAAATTAAGTTCCATTCAGCAAGTTTTGGATTCGCCACCAACAATGCTGTTTTTTTGATAAAAACTCGACTGACAGTGGTAGAAGATGCACTGAGAGAAATTTTCTTCAGTGTGGGATGAGTGAGAGTGCACTAAGACCAGGTTCTCTCGTGTAAATTGAAGTGCAATAAATAAAATAAATAGGGCTTACAACATGACAATTAATTTGCTTGATGTCAGATTACCCTGTGCAGCTGCGAATGAGCCCCATTTCCAGACTGCTGCCTTGAAGGGGGTGTGGCATTTCATGATCCAGATCAGTAAGTTAACTCATCATGCCAGATTCAGACTCAGTCAGTTTGTTGTCTAGCTTAGTTTAGGAAGTGTCTATTCTAACGCCGGGTGAGAATAAAAATTATACGATCGACCTCTCACCCCGGGTGAGACTTGCCACAGTTGGCTATTCTCACCCGGTATGAAACAAGGCCTGTTTCCTAATTTCTGAATACTGTGTCTATCGGAGTGGACGATCAAATTGACAAAATTTAAACAAAGAAAAAAATGATGTTATAGTAGTAAGTAAACTAATTTGGTCGTCTACAAAGGTGCTAGGGCTATTTCACTTTTCGAATACAGCTGAACTACGCCAGTCGCCATTTTGCTTTGCCCGGAAGTTCTTGCTAGCCTACTTCTTCTTACTTCTCTTGCTCCCCCTCCCATTCCCCCCCTCCCCCTGTCTCTCTCTCTCTCCCTCTCTCTCACTGCCCACAGACAAAATTGCACACTTTCAACACAAGAGTGTTGGAACGTTTGTTTACACTGGTTCCACAATGAACGCATACAGGGTGAGAATAATGGCCAAAAGGCTCGCCCTCTCAGCAACTTCGACAGGGATTGGGTCAATTTCGACATTCCAGCTTCATAAGCAGAATCACCTTTAACAAACAATCACATTTCAGTTTAATCTTGTTTGCATTATAATATCATTTTCATCTTGGATCGAAATCTTTGACCAGTCAGATAATGATAAAACTAGCAGAAATTTAGACTTACACAAGACAGCTCAACTGTCGCATTTTAGGAGCTAAGTGTGTGTGTGTGTGTGTGTGTGTGTGTGTGTCTGTGTGTGAGTGTGAGAGAGAGAGAGAGAGAGAGAGTGTGTGTGTGCCCGCGTGTGTATGTGTGAACGTATGATGTGAGTGCGTGTCTTCGTGTGTGTGCGCGCT